AGTTATTTTTGTTACTCTTTGATTTCACTTCTAATTCTTTCTTGTTCGCGCTATCCTTAGGCTTCTCCATTTTCTCCTTATGTATCGCTGGAATAGGCACTTTATAAGCCATAGTTGTTTTTGTGATTTCCTTACCTTTCGGCAAGATACCCTTGTGCCCGCCGATCTTCGTGGCATTGATTATATTCTTTACATTTGACGCCCAATTGTGAGAATCGACGACCATATTTGCACGAATATTCGGTACGGTATTTAGAGTGACTTTCTGCATAGTGTTAATTAGAGCGTGATTGCATATGGAGACGACGGAATTCTGGACACGATTTGCCAAGGGTTGCATTACAATCATCTGACTCTGTTGGGTATTACTGAGGATTATCGGGTTCGTCGATGCCTGCTGCGTATTCACAATGATGTTTGACGTCATTGGAGTTACGAGGGGCATCAGTTTTCCACCGGATAAAATAAGAGCATTAGGAGTTAAATTGGTGACGGTATTGGCCACAGATGGCAATGTCGAATTTTTTTCATCCTTGCGTTTGCGTTTCTTCTTCAATGATTTTTGAGAGTCGACTTTTTTGTCTTCTGAAAACAGATTTATATTAACAATGTGAAATACATACACACACATTAATATAAAAAAATAATGTAAAAAACGATATATATAATAAATATAAAAAGTGTGTTAAAAAAATTATTTTACCGGTCTTTTTTTTCTTAGTGGTTGTCCCTGTCGCAGTCGCTTTCTTAGCAGAATCTAAATTAAAACATGAGAATGATAAAAATGTTTACTAAGACAAAGTCAACTTTAAGTACATCATTTGATTAAATAAGTAATTCTAGATTTGTTTATACCATTTTGACAACGCTCCGCTTCCTTCGATCCAGTTTCAGGTAAACTACTTGTACTATCGGAATTATAGTTTTTGCTATTGGCACAATTTACTCGATTTTCTTGATTTTCTATCAAATTACAAACTTTCTTAGCGACAGCAGCTTCCTCGGACAACTTTTTCGGAGCCGACGATGTTGCAGATTTTCTTTTAGAAGGCACTTTATTCTCCATGGATTTCTCCTTCTTTTTCTTCTCTAAAGTTTTCTCTGCAAGAATAATCAGATAATTAGAAAACTTTAACACTTTTAATTTTAACTTTGCATCAACATGTAATGCACTTACTTTCTTCGATCTTATCAAAATACTTGTCTACGTCGTCGACGTTAATTTTGTTCGACCATTTTAAGGGAGATATTTTTTCAAGAGCTGGTTCAGCTGGTACAGAAATTCCTGCCTCCTTAAGAAGAGTGGATAGTAACTGAGTACGAGACGTCAGCTGTATTACCAGTTTCTTCAAACGTGCCAATTCTTCTTCTGGAAAATCAAAACAATATATAACTACTGGATAGATTTAAAAATTGAAATTTTATTTTCCTAACATATACCATGTGGATCTTAAAATACATACTGTGTGCCTCAGAAGCGTGAGTGGAGAATAACTCGTCGGTACGACTATGGAGGTCTTTTATGTATTTTGAGGCATGGATCAGAATGTCGACCTTGTTGCGTTTGCGACCTTCCTGATGCGGCGGCAGAAGATCCGCCAATGTCTTGAAGTAAGCGTTCATACGTTTTCTTCGATCTCGCTCCCATGTTTTTGCTTTGCTGCAATGAGATTTGCAGGTAGAGAGAAAATAGAAAGACATAGATGACATAGGGTACTTTCCATTTGATGACACAAATCGACACAAGTGTTGTTCTATCCTTGTTGACATTTGGAGAGTAACAAAGTTGAACGACACTTGTGTCGATTTGTGTCATCAAATGAAAAGCACCCATAGTAATTATATTTCGTTATTCATTGCAAGTACTAACAACCTATAATTCACGTTATGTATCCTACAGATTTTCAGTTCTTGCAATGAATAACGGAACACAGCCAATGTGATACAGTGAATCATTATATTCTTGTTTGCCAATATTAAACAATGATAAAGATGAAACGATTACATTCGTTACACTGTGTCGCTTGCTGGAAAGTATCATAGAACAGATGAGCTGAAACGTTTCCTCGCGTAATCATTGCCACGTTTTTCAAATGAGAGAAGAAACTTTAGAGAAACTTAAATCGGACAAACCGTAAATAACCAGGTAGCTATGTGACAGGTTAGAGAATCGAAAAATTTTAAAGACTCACGTGTTCTCCTTTCGTGGCATAATTTATCCGCTTGACATCGTTCTGTAAAGATAGCGTGTCGCGAGAAGCGCCGGTGCGTCACTTGTCACCGACATTACGCGATCGCAAGAATTGCCTTCGTAATTCTGACATTTTCGTTCCACTAGCGAAATACAAAACACAGTGCTAGCTACAGCTGTGTGTCGTGCAGCGGGGGATGGAATGAGCGGAGAATGCGAGCTTCCGATTTGGGTTCGTCGCACTATTTCGCAACAGAAATCTGATTTATCGACGAAAGCTCGGATTCCATAAAATATTTCTGCAATATATTTCTAAAATGTTATATTACAAGATTTTATTATAAATATTTCAGAAATTTTTTACAAAGTATATCTGAGATGTGAATATGCAGAGTTTTAGAAAATTTTTTTTTACAATATTTTTGTACAATATTTCTAAAATGTTTTTGTGAAATATTTGAATGCAACATTTTAATATATTCTACAAATGTTTACAAAATATTTCTGAAATATTTTATTGAAGTGGATTTTGTTATGAAGTTTCAATGGGCGAAAAATGGATCTAGGTGGCGCGTAAAATCTCCGAGAACATCGATACGAGTATTGTTTTGTTTTCTGTAGCTGAACCGAGTGAGCTGAACTTTCTGCACTTCTCATCTTTCCTTCTTTTCTCTCTAACTACACACCTACGTAGTGCAACTTTTTTTTTCTCTCTCAACCTCTCTTTCTTTTTCTTTCTCCGTTGACGACATTGCGACGTCAAACTCGAGATCGACACATTTTCACATGCACGCTCTCTACACTTTTTTTTTTCAAATCATTCTTTTCGCTTACTATTCAAAATGTGAATGATTACTACATCTCGTTTTATATAAATAAGAGAGAGAAAACGCAATAAGGCAAGTTGAAAATAGATTTTTCTTTTCATTTTGGACCTTCATCTTGGATCAACGAGTTAAGAGACTTTGGAGATCTCACGCTTCGACCTTTGGTAAAACTGATGAGATCAATGATGCTGATATCTCTTCTCGAGACAAGACAAGACGCTGGGAGAGATCGAAGCACCTTTCACGAGAATCTCTCACGGTCGCGTGTTCAATCGTGCGTAAATTTTTTGTTGAAATCATTGTGAATAGAACGCGCAGGCGTTATAAAGCTTTCAGTTGTAGGACAAGGGCAAGGACGTGGAATTGGAAACGAGAGACTGTCAAGAGCGATATCGACTTGTTTTCTTAAACAACAGCGATTCTAAACATTCCACGGCTCATCGATCCTTCAATAATGTACGATGAACGTTTACATCGAGAAAATTTCCCATGAGAAAATTTTGGACACTTTTTTTGCCTCTCTATTTATTTTAGTTAATTCTTCTCGAATTTAATTCCCAACAACGGAATCGAAAAACCGTTAAAAAATCAAATTCCTACTTTCTGAAATTATACAGAGACAGTCAAATCCGCTATTCAGTAAATATCAACTAAGTATAACAGTATGTAATATTATATATCAATATATTATAATTTTCTACTCAACAATGTAACTGTTGTGTACATACATCTTGCATCTGTTCTACTACTTATACGCTTATAATATTGAATGGATATTTATATATTTAATGTGTGTGAGATGCAAATATTTTCAAACTCAATTAAACTCCGCCGATGGAGGAGAATGTATAATGAATATAAAGATAAATATAATAATAATTTATTTTTAAAAGCTAATATAATTGTTTATTTTTTGACGGGATAGTATAATTAATTAATCTCGAAAACAGGACTGTCCCGTTTTGCCGGATTATCGATACTCTTTTTGCAGCAACGATATCCGAAGATCTACTTTTAATCGCGCTGTATACGTAATTTTCTTCGTTCGAAGAGACATATTTTTTTTTCCTTCGTTTTCTTTTTACAGTCGCGGTCGTGTCTCAATTTAAACGCAGATAGTGCAGATGGGAGAGATAAAGAGAGAGAAACGGGAGTCTCGCGGCGCCTTGCGCGGAAACGATTTCCCAGCTTCCCGAACGTCGACGGAGGGATGCGGGGGCAGCGGACACACATAATCGGTGCACGCACGCGTGGTGGGAGTGAAACCGTTCGCGGGATCAGCGACGGCGGTGGCGGTGAAGGGTTGGCTAGCTCGTTCGGGGAAAACAGGTTCGCATCGTTCGCGAGCGTACGTCGTAAACGTTCTCCCGTTTCTCGCGCGCGGAGAATCTCGCGAAAGGGAAAACGATTCATCCGTGATCCGCTCTCGTTCCTTGTGGACTTGACCATCGCGCGTTCTACGCTTCGAGAGGGGATCGGAGGCGGACGATAGCCCGTGGACGAAGAATGTCAAGCGCGAGAGTGCGCGAGTGCGAATAGTAGAAGCTGGTAGAAGCCGTAAACGCCGAGAGTTCCGGAGGGGCAATCAATTTTCCACGTAGTGCGTTTATATACAGTGTGTGTGTGTGTATATATATATGTGTGTGTGCGTATACCGTACGCGTACAGCACGTAGCTGAACCTCGCGTCATCGTGTCGTGGTGTTGGTCGCCAGTCGAGATCAGGTAGCGGTCGACTTCAGGTAGTCGAGGTACAGCTCTCTCGCGGAGCATCCGAGCGTGGTTCGTTCGTGGCGCGCGGTTTATTGATAATCAAAGACAACTGGCAGCTGCTGGAATCGTCTCCGTGTCGAAAGCGCCGAAAGGAGCCGAAAGAGGCGACGTAAACGGGACAGTTAGCGAAGAGAGGGTATCATCGAGTGCGCGTATGCTGCAAAATCTGGAGAGGACTTGGCGAATGGGGGCACGGGTACGTTGCTGAAAGAGAATGAGCGAAAGAGAAGGGAGGGGGAGAGAGAGAAAAGAATCCGCGAGACTTGCGTCAGCGCGATCCGACACGGGTTTGTTGCGCGAATCACCTCGATACACCTCGACCACACGATACGCAAATCGACACCGATTTCGCTGAATTCGTAAATATCAGCGTTGTGTGAGAACGAGCCTTATGTTTACGATTTACGATGCGTCGACGCGACGAGTGACGTAGAATCTCCCTCGGGGGATTTTTTTTTTTTCCTTCTCCCTCTTAGCCGCGCCTGTGTTTTCCGTTTAAAAGCCCCAGAGATTCGCGATCTTCCGCTTACGCACGTACGTGTATATCGATTTACGCGCGAGTGTCGTCTCGCGTTCGCGCGAGTCGCACGCGCTTTCTTTCTCTCTTTCCCCTTTGTCCTCCTCTTCCTCCCCCCTCTCCCTCTTCGCCCCTCCTCTCATTCCTCCCTCCCCCCCGTATACCCCTCCTCCACGAGCATCCTCGTGAAATTACGCGATCGCGATGATTCCTGCTCGTCGAACGTCGTGACGGATGGCGACGCGGAAACACGTCACATTTCGTCGTCCTTCGTCACGGAAATAATCCTCTGTACTTGCGCGCAAATTGTACCACCAGCAGGTTGACGTATGAATGGTGTCGGGGTCACTGCAGGGACGCACGCCACGTACGTGAATCCGCTTGACAAGATGTCAACGACCACCGATGTCAGCGACTTGGCGGTGGATCTCCCCAAGGAGGGGACGCCGATCTTCCTGCAGACCCGTGCAGCCTGGGCCATCGCCGGAGTGTTTATGGCTGTTGCGCTTTTCTTCACTTGCCAACAGGTAATGGAACTGTCAATAGAATAAATCAAAGCCCTAATCTGTACCTTTTTTGCTTCCTTTCTTGATTTTTACCGCTTGCAGTTTTCCTACTTTGCAAACGTTTTATCAACAATCGCGTTTCTTGTCTCTTTCGAAGTTCATCAACTCTTGTCTCGGGTGACAGAAGATAAAGAAACAGAATTAAGGTCTGGTTTCCATGTAAGATTAACTGTAATCTCAGTTCAATTTATTTTTCATCTTCTAATTCTTAGAATTTTTTATTTTCTAAGAATTAGAAAAAGATAGGCAATAAAATTTTAACTGAGATTAAAGTTAATCTTATATTGGTGGAACTGGAGGCTTATACCTGTTGCTACCAACATAGATTAATCTCAGTTTAACTTATTCTTCATCTTTTTCTAATTTTTAGAGCTAGAAAGACATAAAAAATGATAAGAAACAAAGAACGCATTGTAGATTAGGCTTAAGACACTTGATTTGTGATGCAGTCACCTTTCTCTTTTTTCATTATTTGCAGATCTATCAGCATCTGAGGTGGTACACGAATCCCACGGAGCAGAGATGGATAGTGCGAATTTTGTTTATCGTGCCCATTTACGCCATCTACTCCTGGATCTCACTGTTGTTCTTCAATAGCGAGAGCTACTATGTTTACTTCTTCACGGTGCGGGACTGTTACGAGGCATTTGTTATATATAATTTCCTGTCGCTATGCTACGAGTACCTAGGCGGTGAGGGCAACATCATGTCCGAAATCAGGGGCAAGCCGATACGTTCCAGTTGCCTGTATGGCACCTGTTGCCTGGTTGGAAAAACTTACACCATCGGATTTCTAAGATTCTGCAAGCAAGCCACTTTACAGTTCTGCTTGGTTAAACCAGTGATGGCGTTTGTCATCATATTTCTGCAAGCCTTCGGCCATTACAGAGACGGAGATTGGTCACCCGACGGTGGCTACATTTACATTACGATAATTTACAACATCAGTGTATCGCTTGCACTTTATGGGCTGTTTTTATTCTACTTTGCTACGAGAGACCTGCTGACGCCGTTTGAGCCTGTGCTCAAATTTTGTACAGTCAAGAGCGTCATCTTTTTATCATTCTGGCAAGGTAACATCTGAAATTAAACATTTGTAAGTGCGTGGAGTTAAATAGTTGATAACAATTGCAACAAATACTTTTTTTATGCAGGAGTATTGTTAGCTATCTTGGAGAAAGCAAATGTCATTTCACCCGTTATAAACAGTCTGGGTCAATCAACGAGTGCTGGTACAGTCTCCGCCGGTTACCAAAATTTCCTCATTTGTATCGAGATGTTATTCGCTGCTATAGCTTTACGTTACGCGTTTCCGTATCAAGTATACGCAGCTGGATGTGTTACTGATTCCAGGGGTAGAAGTGTGACAATGCAAAGTATTAGTAGCAGTTTGAAAGTACGTTTACAATATTCCTGAATTTTTTACAGAAATATTCTTTTTTTTTTCGTTAATTTAATACTCTATTCGACAATAATATTTTGTAGGAAACGATGAATCCAAAAGACATTATGACCGATGCCATCCATAATTTCCATCCACAATATCAGCAGTATACTCAATATAGCGCAGGTATGTGTTATTTTTGTGCTATAATTTGTTTTGTGCTGATTTCTTTTAAATATTGCTACATAATTATTTATTACTATATATACATTTTTATTAATTTTTATTATCGATACGTTTATGAATCTTCATACAGCATGACAGTGTGTGACATAGAATTTATGTCGTTTATTTAAGTTTTTGTATGTATTGTCTCACATACAGTCATTATTTTTTTCTCATGCATTCATAAGAAAATGTCATGTTAAAATAAGGCGGTGATACTGAATGTTCTAATTATAGAGCAAGATTATCTGACATGTAATGCCAATAATGTCAATAATAGTTACACAAGATACACGTTTTATTCAAGATTGCAAACGCTTCAGTTACAGGCTTTGGCGCTTTTGTATATAATTTACTTGTACTCTTTCTGACACTTCTGACACTGCTGATCAATGCAGGCACCGATATTATTACATTAATATCCACTCACACACACATATATATATATATATATATATATATATATATATATATATATATATATATATAGATAGCAAAGTTCACGCAAGTTTCAAGCAAATGCGAAATTCACGGATAGTATAGAATCTGCTTTCAAAGATAGTCCTCTAATAATATCTTATTTTACTTGTATAAAAAAAGATTAATTATATAAAATTTCCTTAATGTGTGCCAGTTTATTAGACAATTCAGACAATTACTTTGAAGGCACTTTTGTTTGATATTTTTCAGACGTTAGTACCAACTTGCCGTACGAAAAGATATGACAGTGAGGCATCACTTTTTTAATTTCAAGAAATTGGACATCGAGCTTTATGCGCGACTTTAAATGAAGATCGAAAAGAAAGATACTTCATACAGCACTATACTTTGCTTACGGAATTATACAATGCCTTAGAGATCGGTATCTGTCCACAAAGGGTCAATTTCTCGAAAATGATTTCTACGCTGAAATTACAGAATAAGGGTTGTACTTAATATACCATCGATATATACGTATTATATGCATATAAGATCATCTATTTTGCGATTAACAAACTCTGCTGTAAAATAGAAGTTAAGCATTTAACATAAGAGGAGCATTTAGGAAAGAGAAAGAAAAAAAAACGGGGAGAGGGAGAGAATAGCGTACTTCTATAGTGTTGCTCTATAATGAATGTAAAGATGATTAGGGGTACAGTTTACTTAACACTATAAACGCTTTGAAGCATCTGATTGATCAATCACAAAGAAAAATTTCATTAATTGATTAATTAGAAAATTTTTTCAAAGCTTTTGTAGCATCAAGTGGACCGGATCCTAAGCATTAGTGTAATGTTTTTTTGTTTTTTTTTTAATAACATATAACTCAACTTAATTTTATTGCTTTTATTTTTATATTCCTCTCACATGGTACCATGTAGCATGCGAATATACGGCCGAGCATGTAAAGCACATCATATATCCTTTTTCCCAAAGGTATAGCATACATTGACAATGGTAAAATTATCACAATCCTAGCTGCTTGCGATTATTTTCTTATATTAATAATAATTTGCATGAATTATTTGTATTGCGATATTATCGCATTAATATATTTTTTTCTTTTGCACCTTTATGTGTATACGTAAGAATTCGAACTTTGTTGCTCTGATCAAATCTCTTGTATAGCTCGAAATGCATTATCAATGGTTTTCGTGCAGAGTTCGAAATTACCAAAATTACACCGAGTTTAAATACTGGGGGACAAATTTCGATAGGAATTTAGTAGGTCTTTTAAATAAACGATTCTCTCTATAATATAAGAAATTGAATTTGCCAGATATATATTCAGTTTCGAGCCTTGATTTGTGAATGCAGTTCCAGAGCAAGAACGTTCGAGATGTAAATGTGACATTTTGGAGAGGATTGGTACAACGTTGGTGTATTCGGTCATATAATTTCACGATTGTGAAATTAATATAAAGGCGTTGAATTAATATTTAAAAAAATTAATATAAAGAAATCGATTGGTCAATTTTGGCGCATTTATTGTCCAACGGACACGCGTATCTGGTGTTTGCTCACTGTAATGTGTAACAATGATGTAACAATTAGGGGGCCCAAAAGGACAACGTGGTATGCGAGTATCCAGCTTCGATCCGGATGATCCGCAAAACATGCCGGTACCACCACCTCAAAGGCGAAACACCTCTCACCAGCGTGTCGCAACGATTTCGCAAAATTATAATGAGAAAACGATGTTACTGAGCAGCGACGATGAATTTCAATAAGGCACACGGACGTGGTTCGGGGAAATGTGATTTACGCTCGAGAATCGTATCGACAAATATTACAACGCGAAACTTCCATGAATTTCTAGAAATCTGCTTTCGAAGGGGGGATGGAATGCAAGAGAAAAACGATATGTTTTAAGGAATTCGCATGAAGCGAATTTAATTCGTTCTTGCAGACCTTAAGAAAGAGAAAAAGGGACATTGCGCAGAGCGTAAGAGCGCATTGCGTTTCACTGTAATAGTTCCATAATGTTACATCCATGTTAATATATGTATTACGTTATAACATACGAGTAAAGAAATAGTATAGAAGATATTTATTTTACTATGCTGACATGTTTGAGGCAGTGTTATTCGTACACCCGTGGCTCTACTACGACACTGCAAGAAGTATTAAGTGCACGATAATGCTTGCTCTTCGTAATAGATAAGAAAAAAGTAATTGTATAGTACTTAATTTCACGCGCGATATCGCACTTTCTCAGAGTACTGTTTGTACGTAAGCATCGACACTTGTTTACACTTTTGTATCTATTTTTATTTACGCGTTTGCATTTAGCGAATTTTAACTTTTACAATTTCGCATTCGTGCTTATTTGGGAAGCCTCGCGAGCCACAGGAATATTTGCGTCCTTCTGCAAAATCATTCTTTCCTTGGTTTCTTACAAAATGTACGTGTATATATCACCGAGGTAGATTAGATCTAAAAATGCGGAGAAGTTGAAGCGAGTTTTCCTTCTCGACGAAAGCCTTTCGATATAAAAAAAAAAAAAACAAACAAAAAGATGCATAACAATATTATATGCGCGAGGAAAGGACGATCGATGAGCATCGTGTCAGATATAAACATTTGGTATTCGGTGTCTTATGTGTACAACTGTGTATAATCCTCATATTTTTTTTAAAAGCATAAGAGACGAGCCAAGTTAACAAAGATCTATTTTATATGACAGCACAGTGTGCCGAAATCTTTCGTCGCCATTTAAGAACGAAGTGAACGTGTAAATCTGTAAACAAATTTTATTGTCCTATTACATCTCGTAATAAAGATAAGACACAACTACATGAATAGAACATTATTTATTTACAATTAAAACATCTGTTAATAATACCTCATATATAGTAAATATACATATATATATATATATATTATATATATATATATAGAATAATTTATATGTATATATAAGAAATTTTAATTACACAATCTGTCGATGCTTTTTTTTTCTTAAAAATATGTTAATCAACTTGAATACCGTATTATTACTGTTAGAAGAATAATTTAGAATGTTATTAACAGCCTTTACTTTTTGGCAAAAAAATAAAGATATAATATTGTACACGTTTGGATAAAACGGTTCATTTTTCTGATCGCAATAGCGAAAAGCACCCTTATTTGAATTTCCACCAATATCCTACGTATCTATCATCAACTACCAGCCAATCCAATATGATTGATTATTTGTCACAATCTTCTTCCAGCCGTGCCAAGGGGATTCCAAGTTTTCGCGCGAGGGTAATGTTTCCGGAAGTATGTTACCGGTTTTCAATTGTACTCCTCTTAATGCTGACTTTAGCGATGTGCTTGCAATTAATTGTTTTTCATTGTCTTCTTCCTCTTCTTCAATATCTTGATACTGTAATTCGTCATCCATATAAACGACCGCGTTGGTATCCTCATTATTCGCGTACTTGTGATACTCCTCAGCGACGTCGCGCTTCGTCACTTTACTCGTAGTTATAAATGCATTCTGTATGATCTCCAAGTCGTGGGCAGCCAGCGGAGATTGCGGATTAATTATGGGTTTGAAGCCGATCGATCTGAGCCGCGCGATCCGTAAATCGCTGTCGAATGCATTCACTGGCACAAAAGCCGATGCTCTATCCTGTAAGGAGTCCGCGTATTCCTCGTCGCTTTTGCGACTCTTGTTATCCTCTGTGAGCGTAGAAGCAGCGCAGATTCGCAACGTCTGAGCCTGGGATCCTTGATCGCACACGTCCAACAAGGAGTCCTTCAATTTCTCCAATTTATCCCACTTCATCTTTAAGATAGCTTTTTGATCGTTTAACTGTCCAATAACATAAACTTGCGGATTATCAGAGATAAGTTTACACTGCGTCGTCGCGTCCATCGTGCTGGGTTTCTCTTGTTTTTTGCGAAAGCAATGTAAACGCGATTGAGCAGTACGATGTGATAAAGGAATTGTCCGTGTCAGCTTATTTCGAAGGCTCCTATCGAAGGAAGTCTTGGTGACAGCGTGATCAGCTGTTACGGTTTCATTTTCTTTCTTCTTGTTGCTGACGTTGTTATTATTATGATTACTGTAATTTTCATTATTATCATTACTAAGATTACTTTTAAGAGTTTTTTGCTTCTCAATTGAACTGTTAATATTCTTGCTATTTGCGTGCACGGTATTGGTCATCCTATACTTATTTTTCGTTTGTCTCTCTCCGACACGATTGACTTTGGTCAGTTTGCTCTTCCGTTTAAAACTAGACTTGTATCGCTTGTTGGACGAATATATTACGGTATTGAAGGTATTACAATAGTTTGAGTATGCATTGTTTTTACATCGTAATCTCCTGTTTCTGGGACCACGTGTCATGGGACCGAAATTAGCGTCTATCGACAAGTTGGCAATTTCTCTATCTCGTTTCTTGTATTTGGTTTTCTTGATCGACGAGTCAGGAAACTTCGGCTTTACCAATACTGCTTTCTTGTCAGTCCTTAGACGGGTTTTTATGTCGTACGAACTGCGAGTATGTTGCGCGATAGTCTGAAGCGAACTCTTTACACGAAACGGCGATAAGTACTCATTATTCTTCTTGGAAATGCAATTACGATCGCTCCTCCTAACGTTATTATTATGTTTCTGATCCGCGTCGTTACAGGATTGGCGATCCACACCGGGTAGCAAGTTGTCGAATTTTTCTCCATCCGCTTGCTTGGTTACTTTCCAAAATAATCTTTCGGATTTGGAATATTTACAGTATCTTCTGTTGTCCAAACACGCAACGTTTTCCTTTATATTGTCTGTTTCCTTACGCTTCTTCCTAAGATTTACGTTCGTCGGCACGTACTTCTTGCTCTTGGTCTCCGGAGTGGTTTCTCTTTTCGACGCGTTCCACATCGCGCATTCTTCGGTCGTCAGCCCTATCACATTTCCGATTAGTAACTTTGACATAGGATGATGTATCTCCTTATTGATCAAGTTTAAGATTTTATCCGGCGTCAAGGAGTCCAAGGATTTGATGTTTTGCGCGCAGAAAGATTCACTCGGTATTTCCGAAGTGTCGTGGCATTCGGAGATTCTTTCGTATGTCGCAACTGAATTCCTCGATGATTCATTCCTGGAATTCGACTTCTGTATCGGTTCATTATCGATATTCAAATTTTGTACATCCCGACATTGAGCATTTTGAAGTTGTTCCTTACGCTCGATCGTAGTATTTGCATTATTCTTGGAACTATGTAACGACGAAGATATGCAATAAGAATGTTCTGACGAGTTTACGACTATCGACGACAAATTTTCTCTACGTTTGTTCAACGGAGTATTTGTGTTACCGACTACGACATGTCCGTTATAAGATACGTTTTCACTCGGCCGAGAATTCACTCGCGCCTTGTCCACACTTGGCTTCTCGATAGGCTTGGCATCTTCCTTGGGTGTCAAGTGACTACCCTCCATATCCAATGCCGTACGAATAGTGATGTCGATCGGCTTGGAAGGCTTCTGCAACATCGTCGAGACGCTCTTCTTCGCGTCCTGCGAATTATGCGACGACTCGTACAGACCCATGCGTATCGAGATGTTTGTACTATGGGTTTTAATAGCCGACGAACCAAGGCACAGCAACGTCTTTTGATCAGGTACAGAAGTTGATATTGCGCTTTCCGTGTTACTCGGTAGTTTCTTAAAAACATGACGCGTGACAATGGAACTTTCGGGCGCGGACCGTCTGCTGGTGTCAACCGACGGTGGCGTTTTAGCGACTGGGAGACTTTCACGACTGTCTCCATAACTAAGTTTTCGCTTTCGGCAAGTAACACCGATATTATTCGAGCATTTTCTCAAGTCATACGTGTTTAGATGGTTCGACTTTGCCAACGGGATACAATGTCGCACTGAAGACAGTTCTTCCGAGCCCTTGCTGCTCCAACTGGGCGACTCCTGATTTGCGAGACGCATCAACGCAAACTTGTTGTACTTGGTTCCATCCAAAGCCATGCCAATCCAACAGCTTATGACTACGTAGAGTCCATCGTACCTGTATCCAGTGTTAGGCGCAATGTTATCTTGTAGATTGTAACTTCTTATTAATCTCAATGGTATTTGATTTTTATAGTTGCGAATGAATGGATCCACGCTAGGTTGTTCCTTGTGATACACTTGGCCGGTGAGCGTTAAATAATCACCAAGATCCACGTCCTCATTCACGTTGGCATGCGAGGTACATACAGAGACAACGCCAAACGGTCCCTCATGTATATCAACATTGAAAGGCTCGTGCATTTTATCCCTGGAACAGTCCATGCGTATGCCCCACCAGGATCCAGGTGGAAATCCCAGAACTGGGCCGTACCAGTTTCTCGAAACCTTAAGAAATGCACGAAAATGTATCGCTGTACACACCTTATCATTCATCACGTAAAAAATAAGTAGGAAAAATGATACTTACATTTTTGTTGTACGATGGGCTCGATTTGTCTATAGATTTCAGTGAGCTCGTTTCCACAGCTTGGTTGAGCTTGCTAAATAGTTTGTTCAGGTCGTGCCTGATTCGACCTTTTCCCTGAAAAAAAAGGAAAATATGAGAAAAAAAAGAAAATATGAAAGTAACAATATGAAAAATGACAGTTTCTTATTTCAGCTTAGCGACGATTGATAAGTGCAATGAGTGGCGTGGAATAACGTAAATAAGGCAGAAAGAGAGGAACTGCAGACACAGGTCTCCTCGACGGAGAGAACGGTACAGACGGGATACACAGAGGGAAGGAAGGGAGGGAGGGGCCTTGAGACGCAATACCTGATTCTTAATTCGCGCCTCACGCAGCCTCCTCTCGTTCTCCTGAATCGTGTTCGCGCACACGATTCTCGAGACGTCACTACTCGACCTCGCCATTTCCACGAACAACGGGGATCACGCAGGTCGCCGAGCACGCTATATCCGCGATCGAGACGGTACGCTCTCCATTCGGACCACGATCCGTCACCGACACCACGAATGCAAATGGCCGCTATCGCGACTTGCGACCGTCCCGTCGATAACCGCTTCGCAATAACTTCGTGATGTAAACACGCGGCCGAGATCAGGCCCAGCTGCACCATCTACACTTTGTCATCGACACATCCTTCTCCCGCCCTACGCTCGGAGTATCCGTCCGTTCTGCTCTAAAGTACGAAAAACTCATATATCCAGAGCAATCTTATCGTTTGAATATTACGGTAAATCAAGTCGCGCGAGTTCGTCGATTAGATCCGCGCGAGTCGCTTTAGCGTTGCTTTCCGTCGTATCTGAAATACGGGATTGCGATCGAGTTTTCGGAAACTACGTAGATTCATTTGTTTAACAATAACGTTCTCACGATATACATCGATTTAAAGAGGGATAGATTTAAAGCCCGTCGCGTAGAGATGGACTCTAGAGGAAAAAAAAAAAAAGAAACGGAGGCGCGTAGAGAGGGAGAGAGAGAAAGAGCATGCGATTAAAACGGCTAGACGAATAAATAAATTGGCGAGGCTAGATGATAGCGAGCGTTAATGCATCGTAATTTAACGGATTCTATTAACGCTCGGGTCAATCAGCCTACAATTGGCTAATGCAGTTACGAGGCGAGAGAATCATAGTTAATTTTGGAGTAGAAAATGTGTGCCTCGCAATCTCGAGATCGATTCGAATTCCCCCCGAGAAGGAACGTCGAAGCGCGAGTATAAAATGAAATGGTGATATCGATAAAAACAGATAGAAACGAGGCTTTGGGGGCGAATGGCGACGGCGAGTGGCGAGTACGGGTACTCGCGACAGATCTGGGATGGCGAACGGCGAACGGCGAACGGCGACTCGGCGAGCGGAAATGAGGGGATGCGTTGTAAACGGCGGCCAAAGGAAGACAGGCGGCCTCAGTGCGTGGACACGCCGCAAGATGGCGTTTAACATGCGACGCTGCTTTTGACGTTCGCATATGAGTTTTTTTTGGTTCCCTCCACTTTGAAAAGGCCAGGAAGTGATTTTTCCTGGCGCGCCGTTTAGTCCACGGACGGCCGATCGAGGATGTGCCGTAAGGTGTTAGCCGCGACGCGAGCCGTTCGACTAATCGGTATTTCGATTTCGAGTACGTAGTACTTGGCCCCATAGCGAGGCGCGCACGAGGTCCCGCGATTGGCCAGTTTACGAAAACGACGATGGCTCCGTGAGGAGAGGAGAACATGGCTGCGACGCAAGCCGAGAGCCAACAAAACGATGTGAAGCTGAACGAGTCCGTGAAATGCGCACAGAAGCGTACGCAAGTCGGTGGGAATAGTGCGAGTGCTAGTGCGAAGCAGCAGCTGGATTCCGAGCCGGACGATAAAGTGTCCCGGGGCGCGGCCCAGCTGCTTAAATATGTGAGTCGCGGCGGGGACACGACGGGCTACGAGATGAGTCAATACCGCGAGGACATTGGCGGACACACTGCCGCCGGTGAGGTAAAATCGCCGCGTGAGGCCGGCCAGACGTCCCAGGAGCCCGTCGGCAAGCAAGAGGCGCACGACGCGCCCGGCCATCCCGGCCACCCGGGCCATCCGTTCGCGCCAAACGTGATACGCGACTACTCGGACGAGTATAGCAACAACAAATCCGGCGACCAATTCGCCCCGACCAAGTCCTCCCTCGTTGTCGATTATCCCCCCGGCAAGCAGCTCCCGGAGTACGTTGCCAAGCACGCGGACTTTCCCGGCAAGCAGCTCGACTATCATGGTAAACACTTGATGCACGAGTCCGACCGGACCCACCGGGCCGAGATGGAGGAGCATTACTCTCCCTCTAAGATCGAGACGCGATTGTACGTCGGTGCTACCTCCAGCAACTTCGGTCAGCCGAGGTTTCTCTCTGGACAGGGTATGTCCCAGACCGCTGGTCCTACCCCTACCTTGAACCAATTGCTACAGGCGTCTACTCCGGTCCATCGGTTTCATGGAAATTATCCCGGTATGGGACCTGAGTATCAGCAGCCATGGCCTATGCAAAGGCCACCGGTTGTGCCTCCAGTTTATCCGCAACCCAGTCAGCGTCCTCCGCAGACGGTAAACAAACACATCTATATTTTTATATTACTCTCTCCCACTCATCCCCTCTCTCTCTAGTATATTTCACTTAGGTTAAGCCCAGTGACTAAGTCTAGCGTTTACGATACATGTACTTTTTCTTGTTACGAGTCCTATATAGTTTTTGTATTATCTGCACATTTTAAATCTAGCTAAAAGATTATATTTGTATATATATATATATATATATATATATATACAAATATAATCTTTTAGCTAGATTTAAAATGTGCAGATAATACAAAAACTATATAGGACTCGTAACAAGAAAAAGTACATGTATCGTAAACGCTAGACTTAGTCACTGGGCTTAACCTAAGTGAAATATAC